GTGGGTTCCATGATTTAGAAACCGGGCCGTCAGGTATGACAAGAATAAGAGCCTGCTGTCGTCACCCCCAAGTGTGGGCAGAGTTAGGACGGATGATTTAAATTAACCCGTGTGTGGAAACACTTGATAGCATTGTGTCTGCGGTGCATTTTTATCGGTCATTAACTTAGCACTGCTAGAATTTTTTCCAAGTATCTTGCTGGATAAATTAGCCTAGAAACAAGCCCCCAAAACGTATGTATTTCAGTGCCGTAAATGTTAAATTTATTAAAATACAGTAAAACACATATTTCAGTATAATAGATTTTATTTTCAATCATTTTATTTTAAACTCATGTCCTCATTCTTCTACCACTGACGGTGATTTTGGGCAAACAACCTCACGTTGCTATGTCCCAAGTTCCTGACCCGTAATGCGGGTGGTACTGCCATGTCCTGCCTAGTATTTTTGTGACGATTCAATGGCCGAATTAACCATACGGGTAAAGCACACGGAGGCACCCGATAAATCGTAGCCAGGGTGGCTGTCTTCCCTGCCGACGCACGGACGGTCCGTCACTTATAACCACTTCAGAATGTTACATTTTGTGGACGAGGCGTGGCGGTTTAGCCAAACTCACATTTATTGGAGGTTGTCGCTCCTTCCATTATTCTTTCAGTAATCACCCTGTGCTTATATCTTTACAGCTTTAAGAAAACATTTGATTAATAAATCCTTTAATGCACAGCACATTTAGTGTCTGTCAAGCCCAGAACAAGTGTGTCTGCAACACCTGGTGCTGGGACAGGGCGAGGCTCCTTAGAGCACGCCGGGCGGCCCCGACTCCGGCAGGGGCGGCTTCAGGTACTGCTTGCTCTGGGCTCCACACAGCCCCTGGAGACACTTTCTACCAGACGGTCTCTCATTTGGGACTTTACAGAAAGGATGTCCAGGCCGGGCACGGTGGCTCGCGCCTGTAATCCCAGCACTCTGAGAGGCCGAGGTGGGAGGATCGTTTGAGCTCAGGAGTTCGAGACCAGCCTGAGCAAGAGCGAGACTCCGTCTCTGCTAAAAATAGAAAGAAATTAATCGGACAACTAAAAATACATAGAAAAAATTAGCCGGACATGGTGTCACATGCCTGTAGTCCCAGCTACTCGGGAAGCTGAGGCGGGAGGATTGTTGAGCCCAGGAGTTTGAGGTTGTTGTGAGCTAGGCTGACACCACGGCACTCTAGCCCGGACAACACAGTGAGACTCTGTCTCAAAAAATAAAAAAAGAAAAGAAAGCACGTGCGCTGAGAGTGAGTTAATCCGCACTGTGGGGTGGCTGCAGCGTTCACCGTACAGATCATTCCAGGCTCTCGTGACCACTGTGAGCCTGCGTGTGACGATGTGGCCACAACAACCGCGGCGTCCCGAGGGTCCGTGCTGGCCATTCGGGCGCAGCTGTGGCTGCCCAGGATCCGCCGTCTGGGCTTGTTCCCAACTCTATCTTTCCTGCCACCCGCCTCCCCTGCCTGCGGGCCGTACTACCTAATCGTGATGGTGGGACGCCTCTGGCTCCGGCGTGAGTGCGTTGGTCCGCAGGGCGGTGCAGGGAGCTTCGGGTGTGAAGGAAGCAGGCGGCGCGCTGTGCGGAGACAGCTGTGGGTCCCATCTCTGTTCCTCCCTAGGGGACCCTGCCGGTCAGCACTTCGCACCCGCCCTGGGCTTTCCTCTGTCGTGTGGTGTCACCTGAGCTGCCGACGCAAAGGCCTCTCCTCCCTCGACCCCTGCCCTCACCCAGAGCAGCTTTACCTCCTCCCGGCACCGCCGTGGGCAGTTCTGGTGACGGGCGAGACTTCTGCCTGCAAAGAGGCCACCTGCGTTCGACACAAACCCCTGTGTTTCTGCCGTGGTCGTCGTTAACCACGGACTAGGAATTCGATTGATTTTCTGTCTCTTTAGAACCGTGCCCGGAAAAAAAGGCTCAATATCATCATTGTGGCTGAAGGAGCAATTGACATGAAGAACAAGCCCATCACCTCTGAGGAGGTCAAGCAGGTGAGCCCCCCGCTCTCTCCTCACGCCCCCCGCTCTCTCCCCGGGGTCGGAGCTGCCCCGGCGGCAGGGCTCTGGCTTAGAACCCGGCGTCATCATTGGGCGCTTTTTTCCCCGACATTTAAAAACGTTTTCATGATGACTCGTGACTTGGACGGCAGGGGAAACACACAGCTACCCAGCAGAAACAGAGGCGTCCCGGTCGCGTGGCCACGCGTGGTCTTCGTGTTAGAAAGTCGTGGCCCTTAAAGGTGAAGGGCTCCGAGAGTGAGGACTGAGCTCTTGGCAGCCGACCCAGGGCAGTGGGAAAGGTGGTGTCTTCCCGGCCCCAGCACCCGCGGGGCTCGTTCTTATGAAGAAGGCTCTGTGCCGGGCTCAGCGCGTCCTGGCGGCCCTGGTAGGGGCAGACGCAGGCTCGGTGCCACGGGGCTCGCTCCGACCCCGCCTGCCTGTCTCGCCAGGGCTGCGGCAGGCGGGGCCGTGCACGGCTCCGGTTCACGCTGCCGGCCCGGGCAGGAGACGGCACCGGCCCGGCTTTGCAAGGCGGCTTCTCCGTCATGCTCAGTTGCGGTCAGTTAACGACAACGCGTGTCTCTTACCGATGCCAACGCCAGCTCCGCACCGTGTTCAAACACAGGCGGATGCTGCGGGAGGACGCCCACCAGTATTTGTGAGGAGCAGCCAACGAAGTCCGGGCAAAGGTTTTCTTTCCCACTGATGTGAAACAGGACCAAGGAGGAACGCGGCTTTGACGCGCCCAGTCCCGCTGTTTGATGGAGGGGCGAGTGGGGTGGGGGTAGCGCGGTGGCGGGACAAGTCACCACGGGCTGCGCACGGCCCGGGGCGGGGGGCGGGGGGGTTGCCTTGACGTTACTGGGTCGTGCTTTGCAAATCAGAGCTGCGCAGACGTAAGGTGGTTAAAGGGAAATGTTACGTGTTTATGAAATACAAGCAATACTTTAAATAGAAGCTACCGAAACAGTGTTTTTAAGAAATCAAGTTACTTACATTCATTTGCAAGGACGGGAGATACAGGTTTTGTTTTGGTAATAAAAGCATTATCTTAAAAGATGTATTTCAGCTAGCCGTTACGATTAAACTAAACATTCCTTCGGGAAGCAAAATTTAGAAGTGACCGTTTTTCCCGATTAGATCTGGAGAAAGGACAGAAGAGTCTTTCTCAGCACCCGGAACCCGCTGCGCAGTCCGGGCTGCCGGCCCGCGCCGCGGCTCCGCGTTTCCTAATGGGTGTTTCTTTGCAGCTCGTCGTTGGGCAGCTGGGCTACGACACGCGCGTGACCATCCTCGGACACGTGCAGAGAGGAGGGACACCCTCCGCGTTCGACAGGATCCTGGTGAGCGGGAGGCAGGGCCGGGCGTTGTCGCGGGGACTCCGGGAGCCGGTGCGTGGGAAGCCTCGCTGGGCGCTCACCCCCAGATGCTGGCGCCCCGTGCCCTTCTCTTAAAGGTCCTTTGGGACCTGCTAGCGTGGCGGGGTCCCTAGGCCCGTGGGCGCTCCGACGCGGGGAGCAGAGCGCCTGCCACCGGGGCGATGGTGCCGTTCCCAGCGCGAGGATGGAGACCGGCTGGGGCAGCAGTTGCGAGGCCGGTTCTCTGCTCCTAACGTTTCTGGGTCCTCGCAGCCAGACCTTCCCTCTGCTCCCGCCCTGCCGGTCCTCCTGGAATTGGAGTCGCTTTGCTAGGGAGAGTGGGGGGGTGGGGAGGGCTGCGGGCACCCGCCCCAGACCAGGGGAGACCAGGGCAGAAAGCAGGTTGCAGGGGGGAGGACAGGACCGTGGGCTGCCCGTGACCAGCGTGGACGTTGTCCCCAGGCCAGCCGCATGGGGGTGGCGGCCGTCATCGCCCTGCTGGAGGCCACCCCCGAGACACCGCCCTGCGTCGTGTCGCTGAGCGGGAACCAGGCCGTGCGCCTGCCGCTGATGGAGTGCGTGCAGATGGTGAGCTGGGTGCGCCTGCCCCGCGGCCGAGGCGGGAGGTGTGGTGGGGACAGAGGCTGCCGTCAGGCCGGGACCCGTGGGCTAAATGGCTTTTCTGAGGACGGGTGGGACGTCCCTGGGGGTGGCGGGAGGCTCCTGTCCCCACCCTGCCCCCATGAGACCTGCCAGGAAGTGGCCCTGGAGAGACCCGGCTGCGGCCTGTCCCGGGGGAGCGTCGCCTGGCTCTGCGGCTCCAGCGTCAGCCGCCTCCCATCCACAAGGCCGTCGGTCAGCGACGCCGCCACGGGAATGTCTGGAAATGGAGGGAGGGAAAAGGAACCATAACCTCCAGCCGACTGACCAGCAGGCCGGAGGCGTGGGGTCAGCGGCGTTCGCCACTGTCTGCTCTTTAATTTCCCGAAGCGGAATTCATGGCTCTCGTTCCGTTTGGTTTTTCCGGTGGCCCCGAGGTGTGCGTCTGTGTAACGTGTGCAAAGAAGTAACTGAGTGATAAGACAAGGGACTTGTCGAAAGTAACCTTGGACACATAACTTCCGGAAGCCCGCGTCTGTTACACGTGTGTGCGTGCGTGTGCATGCCTGTCGGAGCGTGTGTGGTGGTGCACGTGTCGTGTGTGTGTTGAGTGCGAGGGCCAGACCGTGGCCCTGCTCGTGCAGGACGCTTGCTCCGAGCCGCTTCCCCGTCTCTGTGTCTGGTGGAGACGGACGTGGCAGGTGCAACCTGCTCGACCTTCAGACCGTCCTTCCGGGGCTTTGGGGTTCGGAGCGGGGGGAGCCGGTCCCCGGAGCTGCTGTTGTCCGGTGTTTCCCGAGGGGCTGACGTGTTTTCAGCGGCCACAGACGTCACCCGAAGTCGGGGTGTTTTCTGATCAAACAGACGAGGAAGCTGGAGTTCAGAGACAGAAATAACCCACCCCAGACCCTGCAGCTCCCGGGCGGGCCGGGCCTCTGCGCCCCCCGGCCGCCGTGACCTCGCTCAGCTCCCCCAGCCCCAGCAAGGCGGTGTCTTGTGCTCCGTTTTCCCTCCAGAATCAGACCGAGAACCTTTTGGAACCCTGCCTGGGAGGGTCACGTGCTCCGGCTTTGCTCTCTGGAGCAAGACCTCAGGGCTTCGTGGCCCCGGACAGCCGGTGCCGCCGCTCTCGGGCAGCGTCCTCCGCGGCCCCGACCTCCCAGCTGCGCAGCGACGGGCCCAGCGCGGGCCGTGGACGGGGTCTCGGCGTGGAAAGGCTGAGTCTTGACGCTTTCTCTCTTTTCAACGTTTTTTTCACAGACCCAGGACGTTCAGAAGGCCATGGACGAGGGGAGATTTAAGGACGCCGTGCGGCTCCGGGGGAGGTGAGGCGTCTTGCGGAGAGCTCTGTGTCGCAGGGACCGCGCGCTCCTCGGCCGGGCTGCCGAGAACGTGCCCGGAAGTTGTGTTTTTCTCTCATTTTTTTTTTTTTTTGAGACAGAGTCTCACTCTTTTGCCTGGGCTACAGTGAGTGCCGTGGCATCAGCCTAGCTCACAGCAACCTTACACTCCTGGGCTCAAGCAATCCTCCTGCCTCAGCCTCCCGAGTAGCTGGGACTACAGGCATGCGCCACCACGCCCGGCTAGTTTTTTCTATATATTTTTAGCTGTCCAATTAATTTCTTTGTATTTTTGGTAGAGATGGGGTCTCGCTCTTGCTCAGGCTGGTTTCGAACTCCTGAGCTCAAACAATCTGCCTGCCTCGGCCTCCCAGAGAACTAGGATTACAGGCGTGAGCCACCGCGCCCGGCCGTGTTTTTCTCTCTTGAGTCGGGCGATACGCAGGCACTGTTTTCGCAGGTTGAGGGCCTAGATGATAGTTAGGGAGAAACTATTTTTTTCATTCGTTGTTAGTCTTTCTGGCAAGGTCGGGGCTGTTCCGGAGCTAACGAGGTGCCGGTACGAGGTCACGTGTCACAGACCTGCCGCAAGTGAGGCTGCTGCTCTGCGCGGCCCCTTCTGCCCGGACCAGCCCCCTCCGGCTGCGTCCAGGAGTCTCGCTCTGGGCCGACCGCGTCCCTTTCTTGCAGGAGCTTCGAGAACAACCTGAACACCTACAAGCGTCTCGCCATCAAGCTGCCGGACGATCAGATCCCCAAGGTGGGTAGGCAGCCTCCGCCTCCTTCCGCCCGGTGGACAGAGGCCCAGCCCAAATGTCAGCGCCCGGAAGGTCACCCTGACCTCTGGCTGACTGACCTTCCTCCCTGGCTGCCATCTTTGTGTGGCCCAAGGCCCCCATTTCCTGGCTTGGTGCCGCGTGGGCCACCGCCGGGTGTGCGGCGTGTGGGACTCGTACATGCCAATGACCTGGCGCCGCCGCCTCCTGTTTGCAGAGCAATTGCAACGTGGCCATCATCAACGTGGGTGCGCCCGCGGCGGGGATGAACGCGGCTGTGCGTGCAGCCGTGCGTGTGGGCATCGCCGACGGCCACAGGATGCTCGCGATCTACGACGGCTTCGACGGCTTCGCCAAAGGCCAGGTGAGTGACCCGGGAGGCCGCGGGCAGTGCGCGCGCAGGTCTGGACCTCACCGTGGGCGGGCAGGCCGCGGCCCAGGCCCCGTGGCGCTGCAGACACGAGGGCTTCCGACTGACGGCACGGCCTCTGCTCTAGAGCCCCTCCCGCGGCGCACGGCGCCCTGGGGCTCCCCGCTAGTTGTCGCCTGGGGGGCCCATCACGTCCTGGCGCGCTGGGCGTCGCCGCGAGAGCATCCCACGACCACACGCGCTTTGCAGATCGTCACGGGAAGGCAGTTGTTGGAGCTGTTGCTCTAACTCCCTTTTCTTTCCTCGCTTCAGCCGTCTCATTCTGTGTTTCACGTTAGATCAAAGAAATCGGCTGGACAGACGTTGGCGGCTGGACAGGGCAAGGCGGGTCCATTCTCGGCACAAAACGGTAATCTCCAAACCTTGACTCCCCGACCTGCTCTGTCGGAAGAGGAACAGGCCAGTCCCAGAAGAGAATCGCGGGTGTCACGGGGCTTCCGTTTTCCTACGAAATGTTCCTAAAGGATGCGGTTCGGGGAGGTTACCTGTCCTCAGTCCAGGAAATGAGGGATTATTGTCTGGGAAGTCCCCTGAGGTCACAGAGTGACGGATGCCACTGAGCCTGGGTCACTGCACCGTAAACAAGCCCAAAGCAGCGTCCGCGGTGGGCGGTGTTGGTGGGAACGGCGGCTCTGCCACCCGGGAATTCTGGTATAAAAACGTCTTTTTCTGAATCACAGTAAGCTTCGGTGTTCCGCGTAGCTGCGGATGATGGGATATTTTAATGTAGATCAAATGTACGATTACTCCCTTTTGAGATGAAATTCCCGGCCGCTCCTGCCTAGCACAGCCCTGCTGCTGTCTGCCCCGCGACGGCAGGAGGGTAACAGTCCTCTCTCCGGTCCTCGGGGAGGCGGCCGGGCGGGGCAGCGTGACTTCCGCGGTTTCCCATGCAATGTGTGTCACGCGCCGTGTGGAGCGTGCGGCATCTGACCTCACCTCTGGATTTAACTATTCTTAGGGTTCTACCGGGGAAGTATCTGGAGGCGATCGCCGCGCAGATGCACACGCATAGCATCCACGCCCTGCTCATCATCGGGGGGTTCGAGGTAGGTTCCCGCCGCTCTGCTGACCTGCCCGTCAGGCTGCAGGTGTGAGCACCGCCCGGGTGGGCTCCCACGGGCACGGCAGGCGCCGGCTGCCCCAAGACCCAATTCCAGACCCCCCGCCCCGTTGCTGAGGGCTGGCCGTGACGCACAGAGTAACAAACAGGTGGCCACAGTGCCGCAGCCCGTCAGGTAACCGGAGCTGCGGTCCTCACCTGGGCTCCTCTGTTCGGGGCGCTGGTGGGTTTCAAGTCTGATGACATGATGCCAACTCTCGACCTGAAGTCCGTTGGCTGCTCAGACAGTAAGATAGTGGAGACTTTATTTAAATCACATATTGGATTGTAGTCCTCATTTTTTTTCTATTCAACGAAGATCAGTTCTAAGACAAGCTTTTGGTTTCCTTTAAAGAAAACAGAGGAACCTCAAATAATCAGACTTTTACCAAGAAGAGATGTAGCCTTGCTTCTAAGCGACGATGTCCCGTCTCCTCCTCTGTGCTTAACACCTGCGTGTCCTGGTCCGTGGTCCTAACGCGGCTCTGTTGGTTTTCCAGTGCCTCTGGTCCCCCGTGTGCTCCCTGAGCTGCAGCAGGAGTGGCGCTTCCCGCGACGCCCCACCCTCCCCCTTCCCCGGCCCCACAACTTCCCGCACTTGTCTGACAGGCCTACCTGGGACTCCTGGAACTGTCCGCAGCCCGGGAGAAACACGAGGAGTTCTGTGTCCCCATGGTCATGGTTCCCGCCACCGTCTCCAACAACGTGCCCGGCTCCGATTTCAGCATCGGGGCGGACACGGCCCTGAACACGATCACCGACGTAAGTGCGTGTGCGCCCAGCAAGGCAGGCGCCGGCGACACTAACCCGCGGGCCGGGCCCTTTTTATCTACCAGTGACTAGAGACGGCCGCGTGCCCGTCCCCCTCTCGGCTACCCCGAATAAGGGCCAGCCTTTCCTTTTTTCCAGAAAAGTAGGAAAAGTTCTTCAGGCTCTGAAAGTCCTTGATGTACTCACAGAACTTTTGCTGCCTCTTCTGTGCGGCTGCAGAGATGACGACCAAGACTCCCTAAGAGACAGGGAGCAGCTGTAGCTCCTGGAGTATTTTCTGATTTGGATAATCTTTAAAAATTTTTTTTGACGGTTTTTTTTAGCTTTTCAATACTCCAAATTTGCCTTTGGGCCTATAACACCTATTATAAATCCTGGGTCCAAGGGCCTCTGCCTTGATGTTTAAAAGTAAAAATTAAACTAGATATTTTATCATTTTTTTTGTTGACCTGAATCCACCGTTCACATTTATTATATATTTGGTCTTGGCTATAAACGGCATTTTCCCCTTTGTAAATCGGGGGTGTTAAATTACATCTAGGATGATATTGATGCAATTGCAGTATTTTTCCAAGAGGCGATAACAAAACATAGAAACGTATTCTTATATCTGTAAATCACACTTGGTAATTCACGTGGAAATTTGGAGATCAGTAGCTAACCCAGAATGCT